GTCAGGTCAAGACTGGCTTCGCACTCCCTGGGGTGCAGGAGAAGGACAAGTCTTCCTTTATTTCCTGAGGTAGTGTCTGAGGACTTTAATTGCGTTGAAGGACAAGAGTGAAGGGGTGAGGGGGCATTTATACCAGTGGGAGGTTTTGACACCAATGTCTTTACACGAAGGAAACCCAGAGAGCCAGGAATCTAATTTTCTATCTTCTGCTGGTTGACAAAGCACAACATTTTTTTTTTTTTTTTTTGAGATACAGTCTCGCTGTCTCACCCAGGCTGGAGTAATAGCGGCACAATCTTGGCTCACTGCAGACTCTGCCTCCCGGGTTCAAGCAATTCTTCTTCCTCAGCCTCCTGAGGAGCTGGGACTACAGGCATGTGCTGCCATGCATGGCTAATTTTTGTATTTTTGGTAGAGACAGGCTTTCGTCATGTTGGTCTTGATCTCCTGACCTTGTGATCCTCCCACCTTGGCCTCCCAAAGTGCTGGGATTACAGGTGTGAGCCACCACACCCAGCCTGACAAAGCATAGCTTTTATTTTAAAAGTTTTTGGTGAGAGCAGGTCTCTTTGTGTGGTATATGTATATGAGAGTGGTGTGTGTGTGTGTGTGTGTGTGTGTGTGTGTGTGTGTGTGTATGAGAGAGAGAGAGAGAGAGAAAGTGAATTAATGAATTAGTGTATGTGTGTCTGTAGTAGAAGTTCTCTTTCCCAGAGTGTGTAATTTGTGCAAGTCCAGTAATAATTGGCTAAACAGGCCAGATCTGCAGTATCTGTCTTAGTTTGCTCAGGCTGCTGTAGCAAAAATGCCAAAGACTGGATGGCTTAAAGAACAGGAAATTATTTCTCATAGTTCTGGAGGCTGGGAAGTTTAAGATCAGGAGTCCAGAATGGTCAGGTTCTGGTGAAGGTCCTCTTTCCGGAATATAGATGGCTATCTTCTCATTGTATGCTCACTTGGTGGAAAGAGAAGGAAACCATCTGGTTTTCTAGTGTCTCTTATTATAACAGCACTAAGCCCATCCTAAGGGTTCCACCTTCATGACCTAACTACATTCCAAATGCACCATCTCTAAACATCATTACACTGGGCATTAGGGTTTCAACATATAAAATTGGGGGGAACACAAATATTCAGTCCACTATCTCTCCACTCATGCTCTTTTCATATTCTGTTGACCCAGAGGATTCAGACCCTCATTTTCAAAGCTCCTTTTCTTCCTTCATGCTCTGGCTGACTGCCTTCTACTTGAGTGACCCACCACCCTTTCTCTTCCTAGCTCCATTTTCTTCCTCTTACATGTACAAATCCTCCCTATCTTGAAAATGTCTTTATAGATTGAGTTTGAGTCCCAACTATGCATGTGGGGCTTCAGGAAAGTCCCTACACTCCTGAAGCAGGAATTTGTGTTTTACAGTTCCTAGGGTCTTTTGTTGCTGATTGGCTGAAAGTTAGGTAAGCTAGAGCTTCAGTAAGGGGCTTTTGTTCTTCTCCTCTAGACCAGATCGCAACAGGAAGCCAGTCAGCCTGTTTCAGTGGGGTTATCAATGAGACATTTCTGACTTTTCTTACATTTTTTGCTTTTTAAACACTTGTATATTTTCCTCTATATTCCTTAGGAAATTATGGAATGATGAATCTCAGAGTAGAAGAGATCTAGAGAGTAACTGGTTGTATAGCCCATATCCATCTTTTAGTTTTTCTGTCACTTTGTTACCTGACTTCCCAATCTCAACTTCAGTTTTCATAGCCTCCTCTTTTACATTTTCACCTTGAGCATTAGATTGCAGCAGGGATACATTTATGTTTCTTGTTTTGACTCTTTATTAATGCCTGGAGAACACCCCAAGGCTGGCCCAAGGAGGTGCAGATCCCTGGGGAATGGCCACCTGCGAGTGGTCAGCCTGCTCACTCAGCTACCTGCTATGGATAAAAGCCCCAACAGTGTCAACTGCTGTGCTCAGAGCCCTGCCAGTGTTAATCCAAAATGAAACCATCCTTGATCATTGCAACCATGTTTCCTGATGCAAAACAGCATGGGCTGAGGCCAGCTCAAAAGGAGTCCTTTTACCCAAATGCAAACGAAAAGGGTTTGGGTGACAACCGTGTGAGTCAATAATTTAACGTTGCCTTGTAATCCTGCAGCTATTGGCATACAATTGTTTGGCCTTTTAAAAGTCCTGATTATCGGTTCCTTATCTTGACTGCTGACAACTGCTGAACTCCTTGCTCTACAAATGCCTCGAGCTTATTTCTGCCTACGTTCAACTTTATGTTTTCATTTGTTTGTTTCCTTTTATCCCCATGAAACCAACAGGCCAAATCTCCTCTCATGTTGTCCTTAGGCCTAGTTTCCAAAGAAGGCAAGTTCTTGCCAAAACCATAAGTTCATACTACACTCACTATGCACACACATACACAGAGCGAGCGAGCGAGAGAGAGAGAGAGAAACAGACCGAGAGAGAGAGAGAGAGAGAGAGAGAGAGAGTGCACATGAGAGAGTGAGAGAGCACAGTTCCAAAATTAAACCTTTCTTCGAAGGCAAAATTACCTTTGTGTCCACTTGCTCCTGAAGACTCTCCCATCTGCCTACATCTTTTTTCTACACCCCACTCATCCTGATCCTCTGGGTGCTTTATTATTAGAGATATAGTAGATATAATAATAATAGCTTTATTATTAGAGAACCCTTCCAGGGGAACTCCAGATTCTTTTCAGGGCCTTTCAAAGCCTAGATTCTAGGAGTCTACAGTGGTTTCCCTTTCTGGTCTCCCCAGGTGACCAGCAGCCCAGTGACACTAACCAGATTTCCTGTCCTCCTGGTGCATTTATCAGAATCTCTGTCAGTTTCATTCAGGTGCTGAGCAGGAGGTAACACTGTAAAGAATAGCTGTGAACCAGTTCTCTCTGACCTCTTTTGGCCCTAACTGACCCCAGAGCACAGCCCATAGAGATGCATTGTGCAGAACTAGCATGTTCATATGTCATTCTCTCAGGGAAGACTTTCCTTTCAGCCAGGAAACAATCATCTTTATCACCTTTTTAAATGGACACGGTGGCTTTCCCATACACATATTCCTGTGTAGCATGTGTTATTTTCATTCGTGGTCATTTTAACCACAATCAGAACTATAGTAATATATACAGAGTTACAGAGCCCTCTGCATCCAGGAGTCTCACTGCCTTTTATAAACAGTAACTAATTGAGAGGAACTGCTGTGTACTTATTTAATAATACAGTTGTATCCTCTGTTTTAACAAAATGTTCAGTTCTTAACTGTTTATTGTCAATGTAATTTCCTTCACATAATACAAATTAATGAGGAGAGAAAAAAGCGAATTTGTTTTTCATTAGTTACTAATTTGAGGATTTCCAAGCTGATTAATCAGAGTCTTTCCAGCCCATCCTTCCCACAACCCCTGCTTCTATACACTCAGCAGACCAAACATTTTTCTTCCTAACAATTTCATTTTGCAGTTAAACATTTGTTTTGATTCCTTAACCTATACTAATTTTACATTGGTTTACATAGCTGCACTTTTTATAATTCTCTTTTTTCTTGTTCCCTCTCTAATATAACTCACATGCACCTGTTACCAGGACATACACACCCTTTCTTGCCCATTTCTCTAGCAACTCCTCTTTTCATCTAATATCTCAAAATTTTGCTTGCCTTTTTTTTCTTTCTTTCTTTCCTGGAATTTAACCCAGTGTCCTCAAGGGAGGTATCTTTCAATTTGGAGTTATCTCCAAACACACACACACAGACAGAGAAAGATTATTAACTGCTCATACAACTTTATCACATGATTTTTTGTGTGTGTTCTGACAGTTGCTTGTAAAATTGATATTTTATCTCAAGTTCTTCAACAGAGTTTCTATCATCACCATGTGCATTCTCCCTTATTGGGCTCACAGGAAAAACCCAATTATTAATTGTGAAATAAAGGACTTTTCAGCAGAGACAGATCCCTCTGTTTGCATAGGAACTTGCCAGCAAACCCATCTTCATGGTCCTGCGACCTGTGCAGTCTCACAGGGCCTGTGCTTTAGAAGGGTCCCAAGCTTGTTGTAATGCTCTGTTGTTGTGATCTTGAAATTCTTAACAATTTTTAAAACAGAAATCCCTGCATTTTCATTTTGCACCAGGCCCCACAAGTGATGTAGTCACTCCTGCTTCCCTGATGGTGTTGGCTTCTTACTTCCAAACCAAATACAGTACTGATGTTTGTAGGTCCTGGAACCCCATGTAGTCAAAGGGGTTGGACTGGCTCCTTGGTGTGTATTACCGAGGTGGAGGATGCATTAAGCTTCTCTCATCAGCAGGAACTTTCCTCCACCCTGTTCACCTCCACTGAATCTCCTTTGAGTCTCTTGGGTCATTTGGTGGCCTCCACTTCAACACATTTTTCTCCCCAGTCTGAGGGAGCAGTCCTAATCTGAACTTTGTCTCTCCCTCTTCCATTTCAAGTAATTTATCCTCAGATGATTGGGGGTGGCACAACCGAATAATTCAATGGTAGACACACTAAAACTAATATCCAAAAACCTTTGGCTCTGAAACCTGAGTTCAAATGTTCAATACAGCCGAAAAGGAATCTTCTGACAGTGACTAAAATGACGCCTAGAAGAAGCAACCACCAAGAGGTGAGCTGTGGGAGAAATAAGGAAGCAGCCCTTTAAAAGATAGGGATTCAATGATAGAGAATCAACATAGATAAAAATAATACTCGGTCATTGGTTGGGCACGGTGGTTGACACCTGTAATCCCAGCACTTTGGGAAGCTATGGCAAGTGGATTGCTTTAGCTCAGGAGTTTGAGACCAGCCTGGGCAAGGTGGCAAAATCCTGTCTCTACAAAAAAAAAAATTAGCCATGCATGGTGGTGTGTGCCTGTACTTGCAGCTACTTAGGAGGCTGAGGTGGGAAGATAGCTTGAGCTTTGAAGGTCAAGGTTGCAGTGAGCCATGATTGTGTCACTGTGCTCCATTCTGGGCAACAGAGCAAGACCCGTGTCACAAAAAAGAAAATAACTAGGTCTAAGGAAAAGGCACATATTCATTGCTTATGAAGATATATGCAAATAAATATGCAAAATGAAGTGAAAGGAAAGGGGAAAGTTCTCCCAATGAGTATAAAACTGACTGAATGTCAGCTGTCGTCTCTGTTACTTAAGGGTTCATTGTAAAGGAAAGCTGAGACTATACTGGAAAACAAATGTGACAAGAACTGAACCATATCTTTCTCTTTTAAACATACATATACACACACAACAGCAATGACAATATTATTTTACCTGACTCATTCTGTTGGTCAAGTGTCTTTATTGTTTTTCTTAGATGCTGTTATTTATTAATGTATCTAGTACTTGATGTGTATTTTCATAATACGAGATTAATTCATGACCTTTCCTTTTAGCACCTCTATGTTCCACGTTGATGATGACGTTCAATGCATATGCAGTAAGATTTGAAGAGTAACAGCTAGAACAGACTGCTTGGATTCAAATGCCTTTTGCTGTTACCAGCTCTGTAACCTTGGATGCACGTCTGAACTTCTCTATGCCTCAGTTGCTCCATCTATAGAAAGGTTGTTGTGGGGATTAAATGGGTTAATATGCTCAAAACACTAGAGTGCCTGGCACATCCTAAATACTCAATAAACGTCAGCTCTTATGATTGCTGTTGGCTTCCCTGTCTGCCTTGTGAGAAAGCAGAGCTGGTGCAGTGTGTGGTGAGGGACTGCTTTCTGGGGCTAGAGCCACATTTTCTGCTCAAGGAAAGGGCCATGATTTTCCCAGGGTTCTGCAGCATCCTCACCTCCCATGGTAGGAGCAAAGCTTGACTGGAACATACAGCTAAGGACCCTCTTCCCAACCTCTTTCACCTTCCAGGCAAAGGTGATATGTTCCATGCTTATTTTCTGAAGAGATTTGTCAGAAAGAATGTTTCTCACCATTCACATCCAGAGAAGACTACAGAAATACGGCTGTACAGTGTGCATAATATTACTTCCAGGTGTTGATAAAGCTGGTGCAGTGATGAATGAGACAGCTAGATGAGGATGATATACCCAATGCATAAGTAAAAACAAAACATTTTACACTTTGGGAAAACCTTTCCGGGAAGTCAGTAGGATCAAATTGTGGAAATTCTAACATAACTGATAAGACTAGAGCACCTAAAGAAAGGCAATCACCTTTGTCTCCACATCTCTGCAGCCCCTACAAAGCAATCAAATCAAACCGATCATACAATAAAATATTTAGAACATATTATATTTTGGTTTAACCTGCTAACACAGTGTTAGACCTTGGCATTTTCCACTGCTTAGAGTTTCTTTGTGAGAGGAATTCACCCCATTAGGTGACAGCTGTCGCTGTCCTTGGTACTAAAAAACATTCACTCTCTCTTCTTTTTTTTCAAATGCAAACTAGGAACATTTGTGACTTGCTTTCACAGTGTCTAAAGCACTTGGATTTTTAATTGATTATTTTTTAGAACAGCCAAGCTTGCCATTGGAGAATTCTTTGAATTTTCAAACAAAGCCCAATGCCACAGAAACCCCGCAGAGTCACGGAAAAAAAGCAATATTACATCCCAATGAAAGCATTTGGTTTCAGGAGCAGCCATGCTAACATTCATCAACATCCTTCACTGCCCCCAGTAGATGCACTGAAGTGGACTCCTGCTGGATGAGATTGTCATGGTCTCTGACCTTCCACTTCTCTCCCCACACATATTTCAGATTCTCAGACTGCACTTACTGACCAAAGTCAGAGAGCCCCCAAAGAAGAAGCCAAATTATCAGAAGGACAGGAGCCTGGATAGGAGGCAAAAGGAAAGAAAACAACCTTTATGTCCCAAACTGGTGTCTTTAACAGCTTCTGTCTAACGGGGCTATGTGAGAACATCAGGAAGATTATGACTGCACGGTAGAATCCTCTAAGCCACCTCTGCTCCCTGAACACTGTGCTTTGTCAACAGTTGAATTGCCAGTTGCTTAATCTAAGCTTTTTGAGTGCTTTTTACTGGTCAAAAAATAATAACAGGTTAAAAGAATAGTTTCCAATCCCTACATTTACTCACATCACAGCTGGGTGACCCTTTTGTTCTTTTGGGTGCAGCAACCCATGAGGATAAAGGGACAATAGAGATATAACAGGCTAGTAGTATATTTAACCCAACACACTGTGACACTAATGGAAGACATCACAGACATGGTAATATTAAGCTATTTGCATTAACTCTCCCTTGTTGCTGGCAATCATGCTGTGACAAGTGTCATATTCAATGAGAAGATAACCTTAAATATTCCATTTTGACACAAACATCTTTCACTACTAACAAAATTCCCATAAAAACAAGTGCTTCTACATAGATTGCTCTTGCATACACTGACTTAAGGTAAGGAGATGACAAAGGCTGCCTAATTAGCAAGATGTTTTGAAGCTAATACTCAGGAGAGCTTATGCTTCTGATTTCCATTTGTAAATATATTCATTTTTCCCCAATTGTATGAAATCTGAAGCTAGTCAGACTTTTGATTGGCTTTAGTTTTTGTTTTGTTTTGTTTTTTGTTTTGTTTTGTTTTGTTTTGCACAGCAGGGGTGGGGCAGGGGGTGCCAAGTAGAATTTCCCTGTATCTAGTGTGAAGATAACATCTTTGGTGTAGAAATTGTACATACCTTCACAATATCCATTCTGTCAGTATGCCATTGGCGTTAAAGGATGTAAAGGGTTTGATCTCCCTTCATATAAGGAAGACTGGGGATGGAGCTCATTGGGGTCCAGCTAACAGAATGCTTCTTATTCTCACTTGAGGGTTTCGAGGTGATGAAAAATTTCCAGAACCTGTGCCCAAATGGATTATAGTCAGAATTAAGGAAAACAGTTGGAGACAACATATTAAATTTTTTAAAAAGCCTAAATTTTAAAAAAGCCAATACACAAAACCAAACATTTCAAGAACCAAAGGGATTCAATAACAGAAAAGATTTTAAGTAGTGGAAAGAAGGTGAGCTTCGTGAATTCCCTTATTTGGGATTTGATTCTCACTCTTGCTCTTTTAGGATACCCATGGTCCCTGGACTAGATATGTTGAGGGGCTCATTCTATGTGGACAACATAACTTCTTTTCATAAATGGGCTTTGTTATTGTTACATGGCACCCAGATATCTCAGAGCATGCTGCATTTGGACATGGTTTTACCCCATGGAAAGCTTAGAGTATAAGAATATGGATCAGCAAAGAAAAGATGCTCAATTTCTATGATGGCATAGAATTCTTTAGTAGATATTTAATCTTTAACCTGTTGCTATGGTCTGAATGTCTCCTCCGCTGGTTTTACACTGTTCAATGACTTGACATCCCCAGTGGAAACAAGTCTGAAAGGACTCAAAATTGTTTCTTTTCTCTCCCACATCCAGAGCAATCAAGATCTCTAGGGGAACATAAGCCCTGCAGAAGATGAGTTCACAAATTAAAAAATTACAAACCGCACAAGGAAATGAATCACCATGAAGGAGAATCAAGACATACAAATAAGTGAAAATTAGCTACCCAAATCTGAACGTAATAAATTTGAGACTCTGTAGATTTTGAAAAAACTAAATAGAACCTCTAGATACAAAAACAATAAAGATTAAAATTTAAAATGCTAAAAGGGGTAAGTTTTAGTGTGATAAGAAGTTATATATCAGAAAGAAGCATGTTTTTATTTTATATAAAAATTATAAAAGGAAATTGTATGCAATATTTATTAATGCCCACTAGGAAGATCTGTATTACGTTCTGAAGATACAAAAATCAATTAAGACCTACCCAGTCCCTGACTTTGTGGAACAAGGTCTAGAACAGACCAACAATAGTGCAATAAAAAGCAATAAAATGTTATAGATAAATAGGGCACAGGGAGGGTATAGACAAGGAAGTGATCAAGCCTATCTAATGGGGTCGGGCAGAAGGCAGTCAGAAAAAGCTTTATAGAGTTTAAGGTTGAAACTGCGTTTGCAAAAAGTGTAACTGAGAAAATTACAACAGTGAAAGAGATCTGACATAACCAACTCCATCTTGCTTCTAACCTTCAACCTGTCTTTGTTTGTTCCTTGGCATAGGCCAAACTAACTTTGTTTATAGTTAAACTTAGTTTATAGTTAAACTTTGAAACAAAGATGATAACAGCCCTTTTCCAAAACAAACCCCCTTCTTGGCTAGGGACTAGACTGCCTTGCAGGACTAACAAATTAGCCACAAGATTAGCAATTACGGTTTAGGAGTTATGCAGCCTGAAACCACAAGGTTCTGAACCTCCACAATTCCTCCTATGGATAATGTCGTTATTATAAAACCTAAGATTGATGCTCAAGATATTTTTCAGACTCTGCACTTGATAGATCAGCTGGCACCACCCAGATTGATAAACTGGTTCATCTAGTCCAGTGGCCCCCAACCAGGAACTGACTCAACACAAGAGGACAGCTTCAACTCCCTATGATTTCATCTCTGACCCAACCAATCAGCACTCCCCTCTTCCTGACCTGCTACCCACCCAATTATCCTTAAAAACCTCAATGCCTGAATTTTCAAGGAGACTGATTTGAGTCATGATAAAACTTTGGTCTCCCATACAGCTGGCTCTGTGTGAATTAAACTCTTTCTCTATTGCAATTGCCCTGTCTTGAGAACATCAGCTCTGTCTAGGCAGTGGGCAAGGAGAAACTGTTAGGCAGTTACAAGATGTTTGAGTCTCAAAAGAGGAATAGACGTTTTCTAGACCAAAAATGAGGGAAAAAACATTAAAAGTAAAAACCGCATGGTACAACACCATGGTATGGCTGGGCCACTGGGTGTAAGTGTGAAGGAAAGAGTTGAGAAGTAAACAGGGGCAGATCATGGACAACATATAGTAATTTTCACTAGGATGTATACAGGAAGCACAGTAATACAGTACTTAAGAACCTGGAGTCAGACTGCCTGGGTTAAATCTTGGATCTGTAACCTACCAGTAATGGGACCTGTCTCAAGTTACTTCATTTCCCTGGATCTCAGTTTCTTCAACTGTAAAATAGGAAACAGTACTACAAAATCTTCAGAAGATTGTTATGATACTAAATGAGACTATGGCTGTCAAAACTTGCATAATTTCTAGTATGTTTTAAGTGCTTAATGATCATTAGTTCTTATTATTATAACTGCTATTCTTATTAAGAAAAATACGATTTTAAGAGAGATGTAAGCAGACAGCAAAGTAATAAACATTACGGCATTTATTCATTTAGCAAATAAATATTTGAGACACCATAGAAGGAACTGGGGCTATTGTAGTGAACAAGATGGACTCAATTCCTGCCCTCAAGAAACTTACATTCTGAAGGAGAAGACAAATATTAAATGACCAATTATCATCTTACTTAATTACAATTGTGAGGGATGTTACCTAAAATGGTAGAGAGATACATTATCTTGATGAGCAGCACCTAGGAACTTTGTTACAAATGCTAATTCTCAGTTCCTATCCCAGAGCTACTGAATTGAAAACTCTGGGTTTGGGGATTCACAATCTGTGTTTTAACAAATACTCAAGATGATTCCAATGCAAGCGAATGCTTAAGAAACACTGTGTGAAGCTTTTACTGTTCAATTTAATGGAAAGAGCTCTTCATTGTAGTTGAAAACACCCTAACAGAACCTGGAATGGAACCGCTGAGAATTACTAGGCTCCAGGTATTCTTACTGTGCCTTCAGATTTTCATAGGTTTCGCTGAGGACTAATTTAGGTTTAAAAAGACTCTGTTTCTTAAATGGAATCTTGATAAAATCTTAAGAAAGAAACCAATAGCTAATTATAGTCTGTTTGGTTTCCCCTCTTCATTACCCTCTGTGGAAATTGAATATAGGCCTGCTGTCTCTAGCACGGGGCTCCAGAGTCACCCAACTGCTAGGCGAGGCTAGCAGTTCCACTTCCTAATCAGGAGTGGAAGTGAGGGTCAGCCATACACCCAGGCTAACATTACCAAGAATACAGCCCATGGATTGTAGCTCAGTGGTATATCACTACTTTTAAAGAAAGTAGGTCCAGGCCAGGTGTGGTGGCTTACACCTGTAATTCCAGTACTTTGGGAGGCCAAGGTGGGTGGATCACGAGGTCAAGAGATCAAGACCATCCTGGCCAACATGGTGAAACCTTGTCTCTATTCAAAATACAAAAATCAGCTGTGTGTGGTGGTGTGTGCCTGTAATCCCAGCTACTCAGGAGGCTGAGGCAGGAGAATCGCTTGAACCCGGGAGGTGGAGATTGCAGTGAGCCAAGATCGTGCCACTGCTCTCCAGCCTGGTGACAGAGCAAAATTCTGTCTCAAAAAAAAAAAAAAAAAAAGAAAAGAAAAAGAAAAAGAAAGTAGGTCCAGTTAACTGCAGGGCTTTTATTTTGTGATGGGGCATACAAATTGGGACAATACTGTTTCTAGAAAGGGGTCCCGATCCAGATTCCAAGAGGAGGTTCTCAGATCTTGCACAAGAAAGAATTCAGGGCTGTTATAAATAAATTTTTGGTGCTGCAAAAGCAATAGCACTCGAACATAAATTTAATTTTCTCAGCAAGGCAATTTTTACTTCTATAGAAGGGTGTAACTCACAGATGGAGTAATGGCAAGACCATCCCTGAACAAGGGAGGGGAAAGTGTTCTTATTCCTGACACAGGTAGCCCCTACTGCTCTGTCATTCCCCTGTTGGCTAGGGTTGGACTGCACAGTTTGAGCTAATTCTGATTGGCTATTTTAAAGAGGGCAGGGGTACGAGCCAGAGTGGCGGGGTGAGTAGTTTGGCGGGAAGGACGGTTATGGAACAGGTGACTCAGGATGATTCAGGTCAGAGCAGGTGACCAGGGGCAACTCAGTATGGAGCAGGTGACCAGGGAACAGATGTGAACTATTGATTAGAACTGGTGGGAAAGTTGTTTACTGAAACTAGAAGCAACAGGGCAAAGAGAACCAGGAAGTTAAACTTTAAAATGGAGAACAAAGAATAAGAGAGCTGAACATACTAACAAACTGATTCTTTGAAGAGAAACATGGAGTTCACTATATTTAACAGGGCAAGTCCATACAGTAAAATAAAAGCAAGTTTATTAGAGAAGTAAAGAAACAAGAGACTGGATAGTCCATAGTCAGAGCAGTGGCACTGGCTGCTCAATTGAGTATATTTATGGTTATTTCTTGATTATATGCTAAACAAGAGGTGGCATGTTCGTGAGTTTTCTAGGAAAGGAACAGGGATTTCCTGGAACTGAGGGTTCCTCCCCTTTTTAGACGATGTAGGATAACTTCAGGATGTTGCCATGGCATTTGCAAAGGGTCATGGTGCTTGTGGGAGTGTCTTTTAGTATGTAAATGCATTATAATTATAGTATAATGAACAATGAGAATGACTAGAAGTCACTTTCATTGCCATCTTGTATTTTTGTGGGTTTTGGCAGGTTTTGTTTATCCTGTTTTATCTGCAGGGTCTTTGTGACCTGTATCTTGTGCTGACTTCCTATCTCATCCTTTGACTAAGAATGCCTAATCTCCTGGAAATACAGCCCATCAGGTATCAGCCTAATTTCACTCAGCCCCAGTTCAAGATGGAGTCGTTCTAGTTTAAACGCCTCTAACAATACTACTGGTGGTTTTTCTCTTTGAGTCTCCTTCAGAGTAATACTCACCTTTTATCTTAAACGTATCTTGAAAAAATCATTCATGAAGATCCATTCCAAGGGATGCCAAATGATTAAACTGCCCAGGGCTGCCACAGGTCCAGTTCAGGCCAGTGCAAACGACAGCACTACGTCACAGCGTGTTGAGAGATAGGTAGCCTGTTGCTGTGTTCTTCACTCTCTGAGACTGCCCATCTCAAAAAAGAGGAAAGCAGCTGACCTCACTGAAGTTTAACAACTATTACAGGTAAAGGCAGCATCTTTGAGGCTGAAGCTAGTCTAGAGGTAACTTCCTCCAAACAACAACTTCCTCCTTTACAGACATCTTTTTATTCATCATCCTTGGATAACCAGATCAACCCACACTCTGCCTGCAGAATAGTATTAATAGTGCTTTTGACCAGACATAATCATTATCTATAAAGGAAAAGGAGGAATGCATTTGGACGCAAAGAATACATCTCTTGACAGGGCACAGTGGCTCATGCCTATAATCCCAGCACTTTGGGAGGCCGAGGCGGCCAGATCACTTGAGGTCAGGAGTTCAAAACCAGCCAGGCCAATATGGTGAAACCCCGTCTCTACTAAAAATACAAAAATTAGCCGGGTGTGGCAGCATGTGCCTGTAGTCCCAGCTACTCGGGAGCCTGAACCAGGAAGTGGAGGTTGCAGTGAGCCAGGATCATGCCATTGCACTCCAGCCTGGGTGTTGCAGACGGACTCTGTCTCAAAAACAACAAACAAACATAAAAAATAATACATCTCTTTCCCTTAATGGCAGGGTTAACAGAAGCAGCATTTGATGACACAGCATTGTACTGGGAGAAGGGTGAAAGGAAAAGGAAGATGGATTCCTTTAATAAGGGTGTAGTGCTCTTTTATACTTCTATACGTGTGTAGTGAAAGAAAATGCTTGATATCAAATATAAGAAGGCCCCCTCTTAGTGTTCTGCACTGGAGACTGCAGGCATTTTGATTTGTGGGTGGAGTGGAGGGGTGGGTTGGATTCCAAGTTATTTTAAAGCCCAGGGGTGGGCTGTTTGGCAGCATTAGAATGTGGTCCTAAAGTAGATTCCCAATAGTTCTTTAAAGAACAAGGAAGTGATTGACAAATGAAAACCTTTTGTGTGTGTGGCCAAAATATTGGAACCAGTATGAGATGGCAAATATTATAATGTCAATTCAGAAGCATTCCTGGAGCTTTTTAAGAACCAAACCACAATGAAAGTGCTCCTGATGAAACTTTGCCACAATGAGGAAAAATTCAATAGGTCCAGTACCCCAACCTTTGTATCTGCCCAAGGCAGACCACGTGTGCAGGCAACAAGGGTAGGGATGGGTTGCCACAGAGCTGAGGAATACTTGATGATACAGGTAGAAGTTATCAAAGTGGAAGGCACCTACTTCAACATATCTTTTACTCTAGAAAATGGGTTATTTGGAGAACAGATGTTCATGATAATAAGAAAAGATGAGAATAATTGGTTTTTATTTTATTTTATTTTATTTTATTTTATTTTTCGAGATGGAGTCTCACTCTGTCGCCAGGCTGGAGTGCAGTGGCATGATCTTGGCTCACTGCAACCTCCTCCTCCCGGGTTCAAGTGTTTCTCCTGACTCAGTCTCCCACGTAGCTGGGACTACAGGTGCACACCACCATGCCCAGCTAATCTGTTGTATTTTTAGTAGAGATGGGGTTTCACCATGTTGGCCTGGATGGTCTCGATCTCTTGACCTCATGATCCGCCTGCCTCGGCCTCCCAAAGTGTTGGGATTATGGGCGTGAGCCACCATGCCTGGCCAGTTTTTATTCTTCAAGTGATTGACTTACATTGCTATTTGTGTGTATTTCTTATGAACTCTCAAAACTATACTATGAGATAGGTACAAATAGAGAAAACTGGAGGTAGAGAGAAACTCAATAACTTGCTCAAGGTCACAAAGTGGTGGAACTGGGTTTTGAACCCAGGCACTCAGGCTCCAGAGCTTATGCTCTTAATCAGCTAAACCCCTGTAAACTTAACTGCCTCTTAGTCTCTCTGGATTTATGGACAAAGGAATGCAGCAGCTTTTTGTAGTCTAACCTCCCACAGGTGGAAGAGCCTCTGTTTTCTAAACTTTGCACTTAACCGCACTTATTCTGCAAATTCAGATGTTATGCAGCGAGACTGAGGAAATTTTCAATGCATTGACTTAATAGTTTGGGTATTTCCATTGTTATTTCCCTCCCCCTTGGTCTCCAGTTGCTTTCCAAACCCATCATCACTGCATTGCTTTTGGAGGATATTACAGTGGCTAAAATGTTTTAATTCCCAGATCTGCTATGTGTTTGTACATGACTTTAAAACTAAGGAATTCTCAGGTGATTCTAGTATCTACATTTGTAAATAGCAGTATCTAGGCTGTAAATGGCAGGTAGTGGCTATTGCCTGATGGGTTTTTACAAAGCAATTTCTTTGTAGATGACTTTTGGCTTCTTGGGTCAAAGCATTACATCAATTAAATCAGAAATGAAAGGTTCTGACATGACACCGGCTATTACTAGGAAACAGAAGAACATGCCTACAATAAGAACCATGGAGATCAGAGAACAAATACACTCAATTGAGTGAAAGTAACAAATTATTGGGAAAAAAGTAGAAAAAAATGACGTGTATATGAACAACAATATTATTACTAGTTTTGAAAGAATATAGAACTTCTTCCGTTGCAGCCCATCAAAATCACCTTTAACCATTTTTGTTTGGAAAAATGACTTACTATAATATTTTATTTAGAGACCGAAATTCCTAGCTGGGCTTGGTGGCTCATGCCTGTAATCCCAGCACTTTGAGAGGCCGAAGTAGACGGACTACTTGAGCCCAGGCGTTCGAGACCAGCCTGGGCAACATTTCAAAAACGCTGTCTCTACAAAAAAATACAAAAATTAGCTGTGTGGTAGCACATGCCTTAAGTCTCAGCTATATGGGAGCCTGAGGTGGGAGGATCACTTGAGTCCAGGGGATGGAGGTTGCAGTAAACTGAGATCACTCCACTGCGTGCCAGCTTGAGTGACAGAGCCAAATCCTGTCAAAAAAATAAAAAATAAAATAAAAAAAGAAAGAGAGAGAAAGAAAGAAAAAGCCTGAGCACAGTGGCTCACACCTGTAATCTCAGTAATCTCAGTACTTTGGAAGGCTGAGGCAGGCAGATCACCTGAAGTTGGGAGTTCAAGACCAGCCTGGCCAACATGGTATAACCTCGTCTTTAACAAAAATACAAAAATTAGCCAGGTGTGGTGAAACACACCTGTAATCCCAGCTACTCAGGAGGTTGAGGCACGAGAATCTCTTGATCCTGGGAGGCGGAGGTTGCAGTGAGCCGAGATGGTGCCGCTGTACTCCAGCATGGGTGAGTGAGTGAGACTGTCTGAAAAAAAAAGAAAAATGAAAAAAAAAAAGAAAGAAAGAAAAAAGAAGCCAAATAAGCACTTATTTCATTGATTGACAGAACTGGAAACTTAAAGGACATTAGATTGAGGTGTTGAAAGCAGCCCATAGACATTCTCAGAAATGAGATCAAGATGTGCACAGGAGAATTACTGTTGACAATACATCAGGATCTACAGAGCAGATATTATTTAAACACAGAAGATGTATATAGCAACATGGATTACAGTATCTCTTCCCTAAATACCAGAACCATATCAACTTTAAATCTGCCTAATGGCACCCTAAGAGCTGATGAAGAAAAATCCTGTTGTTTCACGTGAGGTTAGAAGAGGTTTCAGACAGGTTAGAAAAATCCGTGGGCTTCTTGCTCTACATTGTTCAATGCCTTCCAACTCCCCTCAAGACATGCATCATGCTCCAGTATTCCCTATTCTATATAATTGCCAAATTAAAGCTCAGTTTCCTAAGTCAGACATTCTAAACCAATGTGTGAAAAAACAGCTTTGGGAGGGTTCAGTTATTTTCCTCAGTCCTTAGAGTGGCTAGATAGGGCCTGAGGCCAGTGGTTTCCAGCCATATGCAGCTTTGGTGGTTTATTCTCATGTAATATGGAAATAATATTTTCTATGCATGCTGTGTCTTTTTGTTTTAAGTTAGGGAAGAACTTTAAACTGGGAAGAACTGTCCTGAGTACAGCAGGTAGACACTCTGATTAATATTACAAGATTAGCTCATGCTAATTTAGGAAGCATTTGGAGCAGTGTCCAGCACGTGGTGAGTGAAGTTAAAGTGCTTGTCAAAAAATACACATAATTGAAGCTATCATTTAAAAGAATTTACACTAAAGTATAAATGACTAATATGTTCAATGTACCATGAGGGTGTTAGCTGACTAACAAAAGATCTTGTTAATCTGAATTAATTTCTAATTGGATAAATCACAACTTGTGTGATGAGCCCTTGCAATCTGTGCATTTTATGCCTTGCAAACTAGTCCTATAAGGCATAAAAGACACAGATCAATGTTGTTTTACAGTAGAAAGCATCCTGTCACCTACACTTCTCTATTCTAACACCCTTACAAGTGATTTCATATCCCATAGGATTTGGTAAAAATAATCATCATTGGAGCAAGAAGTGAAAGTTGGCAAGAAGCATAATGGATATTTAAAATCAAGGAATTATACACATAAATCAATAAATAAATTCTGGTTGAATTAATGCCAACTATCATCAAAGAATAGAGTAAAGCAATCTGGTCTTTGCACAGTGCTTTACCCTGTCAAGGACAATGCAGCAATAAGCAATTTTACCAAAATATCATAACACAATATCTGAGAGTTGAGAATTATTGTACAATCCTATTAATTTGATTAGTCAAATATACAAGTTAGATTTTTCAATTTATGTTGCACTGATTCCCAAAATTAGATTTCAAATCAGGACTGAAATAGACGTATCAGTAACATGGAGAAGTTTCAAGTATATTTCTAAATCCACTAGGAATCAACTATTGTTTTTTTTTTTTTTTTTTTTTAATTTTCAGTGCCTTCAATTCTTTGCATATATGTAACCTTTGGGAAAAAATATATATTGCAGGGTTTGACGTTGTGTATGAATTCTATGCACATAGATTGACTGCTACTGAGGCTCCAGGAGGCTTTGGAGAGAGCAAGGTGGCACTGAATTTGATCATAGAAGACAGAATCATATTTTTAAAAGAATTCTCCCAGCAATTCAGCTATATAGCAAAGGTTTGTCACTTTTCCTCTCAAACCCTTCTGGCTGTCAGTGCTCTAAGAGGAAGGTAAGGAGGAATGCAAACAAA